ATGGACTGGGCGGGGCGGGGGGGGAACAGACTTTTTAACCTTGAAGAACAGGGGGACAACAACTCAACAAACAGTAGCTGACTCGCCAAGAAATACTCCCAAAATATGTTCTCCAAGGGCTTCAAAGTCTTTATTGAAAGTTTAATTCCACGAAACTTTAACACTAATATAAGTTTCAAGCATAGCAGAGGTAAACCTTGCAACTGTATTATATAACTTGGGGTCACTCTAATATTTCATTTTGTCCATATGTAAAACAGGTATAACTACTATTTTGCTGTCAGCTGTAGAGACCTAATCACGCAGACAAATATTTTTCATAAAGCAACAGTTGCACACAAAATGCACAGTATGCTCGTTAAAGTCTAAAAGAAAATGCACCTTCAATTCTCAGAAAAAATACGTATGTAAAATGTTGACTATGTTATGTTCGGAACGGTGATTTTTTTCCATCTTTGACCCTAAGACGGTCATGAGTCATTTGTGAAAAGCAGTAGGCTAACAGGAAGAAAAGAACAAATACAATAACTACGGGGATTTTCTTACTTTCTTTTATGAATTACATACGCATGACCTTGCTGTGGACTGCGTTGGAACTGAATCAGTATAAATTTCACGATCGCTTACTGGGTCTCAGCTGCTTCCGGCAAGCCCAGAGCAATGGTGCTGTAGCGGTTCTCGATTCCATCAGAGGCAGGACTCGTGAGTTATTCCACCTTTTCCAGGCCCGGGCTCGATCCCCGCTCGGTGGCACGTGGCCGGTTTCCCACACGGCCGTTCTGCCGTTACAGCTGTCGCAGAATGACTTTGTCTGACGACTCACTGGCAACGGCAGCACCAAGGGTCCCATCTCTGTTCCTCACACTGCAGAGGTTTCTGCTTCTTCCTGGGTTCAGTTTAATGTTTAGCTCCAATGTAAAGAGCTTGCCATGAAAAACAGCACTCTTGCGCCACACGTTAACAGAATTATACCTCCTTAAAATGTGCAAGGCAAAACTTTGCAAGTTTGGGATGGGACACTCTGAGGGGCGGGTTCCTGGGATTCACCCTGACTTTTCTCACTATGGTAAAAAATTGCTTTTCTGTTCAAACGGTGAGGAAAACATGGAGCAGCTCTCTAGGCTTGGGGAGTAAGCAGGGGAAGCGGGAAGCTGGGAGCAGAAGAGGCACCAGCCTGCCAAATTTGCACTAGGGTCTGTCCACTCACTACATCTGAAAAGGAAAACATATAGCCATTTCCATCCCCCTCATCTCTGGACTCGTACAGAGACATCTCTGCTGAAAAATGGCCTTCATTCATTCCGACCGACATGCACGTCTCGAGACCTCCAAAATGGATCTGAGATGTCATTTCATAAAGCAAACTAAAAAGGCACATCAGAACTTACGAAATTTTGTATTGAACATGCCAGCATGGACAAAGACAAACCCAGAAACAAAACTCAGTTACAGACTGAAGAAAAAGTGATAAAACCGTTCCACATCTTTGCCCCAGCAGTGCTGGGCTCTGCAAATCCAAGCTTTTCTCCCTGCCACTGAGCAGTACTTCCTGCCATGTAAAAGGCTGGCTGCCTGCGACCCCCTGGGTCCCGGGCGCTGGGCAGGGACAGAGAACTGAAGAGCCAGACGATCGGACTAACAGTATTATTAGCAGCCCTTGGTGCAGACCGTAAGAGAAGAGGATCTAGGCTTACCTCCAGCAGTTGTCGCAGCAGAAAGGAATGCGCAACCAGGCCGCGAAGCGAGAGCTAACTTGGCGCCCCTGCTAGCTTCCAGGCGGGCGGCAAACACATGGGACAACGAAAGCATTTCTTACCGCCGAGCTACTGAGCCCGGGATGTCCAGGAGTTGGACTGCACAAATAATTACAGGAAGAAGCCTGCTTTTCCAGAGAATGCTATTATTTGCCATATCCTTTCAAAAGCATTTTGATCCAGGTAAACTCTGCATACGAAACCAATTACCACCGGCCACTTCAATTAGCCAGAATGAACTTTTACTATTTCATATGAAAAATTCCACATTTATCTACTTCTTCAAATTTCCTGTATCCAACCATTAGCAGCATAAGTAATGGAAGAAAGATTTCTCATTAAACATCAGAAGTATCATCTTCCCCCTGTCTTTCTAACAGACACAACTGCCTTTTTCGCTAGGAAGCTTGTGACAACTGCAGACTCCCCTAAATGCCACTGAGACACGACTCCTATTCCAAAGAGCTCACAAAATAAGATTAAACTTGACAGAAGGGGTGAACAGAGAAACACCGGGAGAGAGAAAAGGGAAGGAAGCTGGGACGGGAAGGAGGCTGGGATAACTTCAGAGAGCGTGCGCAGGCCCTGGGGCAGGACCACAGAGCTTCCCCGATCAGCTTCAGGAGCTATCCTAGCTGGCTAATTCCTTGCAGGCGGCAGGACAAACTGGATCTTAAGAAGGGAGCTGGAGAGGAATACTATGACAAACTCCATTCTGATGAGCAGGGTGAAGGAGTACATGCAGGCAAAGAGAAATATGGGAATTGGTGTCAAGGAAGCGGAGTGCAAAGTGTGAGAGGTCGCAATGGGAGACGCAATGGGAAACACTACTTAGACATTCATACTTAAACGTTCGATAAAGAGGGAGCCAACGCAAGAGCTCATAACAGGAAAATGTCACAATCTGATCGACAAGCTAAACAATACAGTTCTAGCACCTGTATTTCTAAGGAACAGGAAGGGATAATACACACACATAAAACCATAACCAAGACAAATGATGCAAAGGGCTTGGACATTTGTCTGAACTGACAGAAAAATAAGTGGTTTCGAGACAGATTAGTAATTACAGAAGCCAGTGATTTGGAAGTCTTCTAGAAAAAAATTATTACTCGTACAGAGGTAATAGCCATACAACGAAATGAACTGACAATAAAACCAAAGAACCAAGACTTTGAACACGATAATACTGCTAGCATATGTACAGAAAGCTATCACCTAGCCTACACAGAGGGCAAGATTTGCTCCAAGCGTCATAAAAAGTGCTACTTAATGCTCAACCCTAGCAACATGAGGCTTATCAATTTAATAATGGCTGAGCTGGATGTATCAAGTGAACTGATTTACCTCAGGCTACTCTGCGAGTCAGTGGGAGAGCCGGAGTTAAAGCTCCAAAGCAATGCCAAGCAAAGAACTGCCAAAAGGCAAAATATTTAATTTTAGGAAATGCAATTAGAAGCTTTTTATTTGTTTTAACTACTCAACAAAGTAGAATTTAGACAGTGGGAAGGGCACTGCAACAAGAGAACAGACAAATGAATCCACCCAGCAAGGAGCACATCACTGACTCCCCATTAATATTGTTCTGTGCTTTAGGTTACTGTGCCATCTCTCTGCAGACAGTAACCTTCCCAAAAAACAACAGGGGCCTCGTCATGGTTAGATTTGCCCAATAAACTGAACTGCTGCATTCACTTAGGCAGGAAATTTAACCTCCCTGGACCTCAGTCTCTTTATCTGAGAACTGGGAATAACGCATGCTAGAGAAGGGTTTGTGAAGGATTTGTGACTGTACAGAGTTTTCAACAGACAGCACTATGTAGGTGCTAGTATTTTAAAATGTGCCATAAGTTTGCCACACACATCAGAACGAGAGGAGAGAGGAAGAAAAAAATCAAGCCTGTTGGTTCAGAAACAGCAGGTCACATTTTTGTCATTTCTTAAGAACGAACACACACGCATCCAGATTATATCAGGTTCTACCACTGGCCATTTTTGCCGAGCCTAAAAATATGTATCTACATTTTCATTCAGTCAAATGCCACAAGATACACAGCGCGTACTTCCAGGGCTTAGGAGAGCACCACCACAATGGCTGGCAGAAAGTCTCACCATTCATCTGCTGAATGGGCACATACTGGACACCACGACAATCAACAGCAGCCATCTCGGCAGCTCCTGGTTCATTTCCTTCCACAGCCAAGAATTCAGGCTATTCAACAGCCCTTGCTCCTAGTACAGTCCAGTCTCCAGTCGTATGACGTGGACTTGGCACAAGATCTATGTTTCAACCATTCGGGAAACTCACGTAGCTCCAGAGACATACATTGTCCACCTGAGTCTAGTGGAAAGGCTAGGACATGCAACATATCGCTATCCTGCCAGTGCTTTTGCTATGGATTGAGGAATCAGGAAAACTGAGATCTTTTGACTGTCAGCAGATCATTTCACCAGTCTTTGTTTTCATTTCCAATATTTTGCTTTTCTTATTCAGATTCCAATCTCTTTACCTGACAGAATTCCCTACCCTGAAGAGAGCCTAGCAAATGAGCATCAAATGCAATTGAGGCCACATTACAAATAATAAAGAGCTTTCTCTTTTAGAGTAGTCACTATTTCTATTGACCCTTACGTAAGAAAACAGTTTCCTTTGTCAAGAACTTTATTTCTCTTCAATGAGGTCATTAGCTAAAATCTCAAAGGCCAAGACAACACAGATTCGTTCCTTTTTCTGTAATATGCAAAAACATACTGTAACTTTTCCAGCTGGATTGATCAAAGAATGTAATAAATACTATAAACTATAATGTGAAGGGACAACAGCCAGTAAATTTGTTCAACGACATTACAAAGGGAGGCTTGATCAGAGTCAGACGTGCTTCCCACCTCCAGGATTAAAAGAAAGGAATGAGGCGATAACAACAGTCACTCATGTAAACAGATCTACTGGTGTCTTTCAGTGTTAGAACAAACTGCTATAGCTTGTGTGTAAAAAGATTAAGCGGATAGAAATCCATCACAGAGGAAAAAAAAAAAATCACACACGCTAAACCTGGATCAAGACGGAAGGAACATTGCTTTCTTTGCTAGACAAAGAGAAAGGCAGCCAACAAAAAGACTTCGAACAGCTGAATTTCAGGCTCCACTTTCAATCTGCCATTACCCATAACAGAACAGTCCTCCTAGGCCCTCTCCAGAGGCAGAATACTATGTGAGAGAAGAACATAAAAGTCGTTATACACTAACCTCATCACTCTCTTCCACATCCACATTGCCATTGGCATCATCGTCCATCTGCTTGTGTATGTTGCGGACAGCTTCAAAGCTGAGCTGCTCATCTTCATCATGACACAAGGGCTTATCAATTCGGCAGAACTCTGCTTTGGGAGAAAACACTAACGTTAGGCAGCCTGCACCAAAAGAAATTCCATCTCGTTTTCTCACTAAGCATCTTACGTTTGAAAAACTGCTTACTGAACACTTGAGAAAGTATCTCAGTGTTTTCAGTCATGGTAGGATGAAGTGTAACTGCCAGATTCCCATGAAATTTCTAATTCTAACAAGGCAGGATCGATCAACGGCCTAGTCAAGGCTATTCTTCTTTGAGCCAAGTTCTTCAGCATTTCCACCTCCACCGACCTCCTGTTCTGTAACAAAAGGAAGTGCTCAGTGTGCAGGTATTAGAGCTAAGGCATTCTCCATCCAGGGTCAGGGACATGTCTCCTCAATACGGTGCCTATCACGTTCTCCTGGGAGGGAGGAAAACGGGAAGACTGTAGGATTACGCTTTGTCTCCTGTTTCACGAGCTTCATTTCTCATTTGGGTATTGTTAGTATTGGCACAGCATCTAGGTAGGACGTTTTGGGAGAAAAGAGTTGTATGTTTATATAAATACGTCAGTTAAAAAGAGTTAGCCTTCTTCCTAATTATGAAATAGATTGTCTTGTTTTTGTCTATTTTTCTACATTTCAAAACTAACACTTTAAATTTTTCTGCATGCCTGAGTTCATCTAAACACCAAACTCCGCTCACCCACTCCTTCTACGGTACCGCTGCACGTCAAGGGGCGACTCGCCACCACAGCTCTGCAAACTGACAACGCAGGAAAAACATCTCCCAAAGGTAAATGTCTTTTTATGACATGCATTAAGAAAAGCTCTTGTTTCACAGATACTACATCAGAACTATCCAGTGGTAACTGTTCTGAGACCACTGTGAAACGAGTTTTACAGCTTTTCCTACAGTTCTCATTAAAAGGGTCTCACTCAAAAAAACAAGAATAATTCACACAGAAAACCTAAGAATTTCAGCAG